GATACATACATGCTGTTGTATTAGACTACCGTATATGACACAAGATAACACACTCCCTGGACCGATTTCCAAAGCTCGATTACTCCACGACGAAGAGGATGCACAAACAAAACGATACATTTTCGAAAATTTCTCGACGAGACGATTCCAACGCTGCCGTTTTCGGCGCCGTGACTCTTCCTCCTGCTGTTGAGAAATCGAGCTTTGAAAATCGGCCAAGGGGGTGTGTTATCTTGTGTCATATACGGTAAGTAGTCGAGCCCCAGCCTTCCAATTTTTTCACCGTCATTTGTGAGAAATCGCGTGATGGAGACAGTTTTGTCTCTTTGCAATGAATGACTGTTGTTGTTCATCGGCACCTGCACCCCAGTACGCATTCATGCCATGTTTCGTGCCAATTGGCAAGCAAGGTTGCAGCGCGTTCGCCAGGAAAGTGCCGTCGGCCGTCGGCTCCGTTTTGAGGTTCCTTCCGCCGCGTCTTCAGGGCGGTGCTCTTCTACAGCAGTAGTCCGCTTTCCCTATTGTTTTTGGCCGACTTGAAGTCTTTCACTTCTAAGATCTAGCGTTCGTTGTGGTGTATGGAATTTCAGCTAATATACAATCGTAGTGCCTCATCTTGAAGGGGCCGCTCTGCTGTGGGCATCACGGTACAGCAGTGCGAATTGACACTTGCGTTTGCTTACGTACGTCTTTTTTCTGGTTTGCACTGGATGGACTGGCAGGTGTATGGCGAAAGTCATTGGAGCTGGTTCCAGGTGAAGTGCACCACAGGATGAAGGGCAAGATGGGCGGTTACAGCAGTTGATCTCGATCGACATCGAAGTCGAGCTTGTGCGTCGTTTCAAGGTTAGTCCACTTCTTGCTCTACGAAGGAGGTGAGGTCGATGATCTCCTTGACGGGAGCAGGAACATGCGCAGCAGCAAACAAAGCAGCACCGACCGGCACTGCAGCGGCAGGAGGACGGGGTGTGGCCGGCGGCCGGCGGGAGTGGCGGCAGTGTGTGGCAGAAGAGGCAGGAGTGCGAGGAGTACCGGCCATTCTTGAAGCAAGCTTCCGATGAGCGACGATACATGGCAGAGAGGGGCAGGGTGGTGGTGGTTGTGGGGATAGCGGCCTTGAATATATAACAAGAGTAGTAAGTGTAGATATTTGTATGAATGACCTCTTCTTGTTGTTGAAACATGAAACTCTTCTTGTTGAAAGATGGACGCCAGCTGATCCTCTGGTTGTTTGGCAAAGTCTTCTTGTTGTTTCAGCCCAAAGAAAATTCTTGAGATTCTGGGGAAGCATAGAGGTATTTGTATTTTGCACACGCGCCCTTCTTCAGCGTCATCTACACGACGTCTGTCTGCGGTGCCGCACACACATGATCAGGTTGAAGACAGAGGTACATAGCAGCGTGTACAACGTAATGTCAGGAACGACAGGGTCCAGCTCCACAGTAGCGCGTTCAACGTCCAGAGCGAGCGCTATCTCAGGCGAGAGGTGACACAGAGCCAGTGCGGAAAAACTCTCAGCATAGCGCAGCTCCCACAAAAGTTGGCTCCCCGCAGGTGTCTACCGCAGTACACCTACAGCAGTTCCAAATGGTCGCTCAGCCTGAGTGTTTTTTGCGCTGTGGCACTTCTACTTTATGTCAGTTTTCGCACGGTACGGGGCGGTGCGGGCAACACAAAAGTCACGTTTTTCAAGGGGGTGTGGTTTTTCGCAGTGGAACACAGTCTATCGCGTATGTCGTGCCGCTGAAACAAAAGTTGGTGCGGGTGAGTTCACGTTGATTGAGTTGTTTGTCTACAGTACAACAACAGTCCGCCTCGAGCATTTTTTTCACACGTTGGTTACGCTGGACGTGAACCGCTTTGTTCGACATGTTCAGAAAGTTTTATCACAAATACCACAAGGAGAGTGAACATAGCAAACCGTTCCTATGCAACAGCCCCGGTTCTATCTTGCTTGGTAGCCTGCCAATGTCGGGATGTTCGTCCCGGGTTCTTACCGGCAGGCAAACCTAGTCCTCCCCACATCGATTTCAACCCAAACAGGATGCAAGGAAAGAGAGTATAGAGTTGCCCTGTGCTACCGGCGTGCTCCCGTCCTTTCGGCAGAGCAATGGACACGATGACAAAAAAATAAGGGTTAGCCCCCGAAACACAGCAGGGAGGTGTGAAGCTCCAACGCTTTGTAGACAAGCGTTCCTCGCAGGCAACGGTCTCAGAATGGGGCGGTGGAGACAATCCACTTACTGCAAAGACTTCACCACATCCCTTTCGACTGAGGTTATATCTCGAACGGGTAGTCTTTCTGTGAGGTTATGTTTACTTTCTAAAAACACCGGACAGGCTGAAATGCTCGGTAAAGAGGCAGAATCTCAGGATGAGATGAGGACTGAAGCGAACAGGGAGAGACATGCGAGGGCGTGCCCTCGCATCCCTCTCGGATACAAGTAAATGGCAACGAGCCGAGAAAGCGTCATGGTTGACGACTTAAAGTGCCTCGGGACGTTGCACATATTCGTCATGGCTCGGGGTATTCGCGACAGCGACATCGCTCCGTGGGATAATTGATCTTGCAAAATTGATCTTCCGAGGAGAACGTGCGGAACGTTCCCTAAGGGTCTAGGACTGGTGGTCAGACACAAAAGGTAAAAAAAAAAAAAAAGGATGAATTCGTAGAGCTGTGACCACCAAAAAATGAAAATAGTAGCAACAAGAAGAGAACAAGAGACCGAACCGAGGCACGGGTCTAACTTACAATCAAACGTAGAGGCCACGGAGATGATGGTAGATCCACGCCATCCCTGCGAGGGAGGGTGCATGCAGCGACGGGGGGGGAAGGGAGACAATGAAGGAATTTCTATCCGACATATGTCGCGCCACTCGGTCCGGTCTCCTCGTATCCTTTCTTCCATCGGTGTTTCGTCTTCTTCGACCATGCCGTTGCTTCCTGCCGCATCCGAACTATTTGTGGGTTTGGTGTCTCGTTTGACTGCCCGTTGTCGACTAATAATTTCCTCTTCGTCCTTCTGCCAGGAGTTCATGAGCTCCTCAGCTCTCTCGAGCACCCCCATCCGCCACGGCACTCCCCCCTTGTCCTTCGCTGCTTCAGTCCAACATATGACTTGGGGACTCTGAAAGTAAGTCTCTCGTCGTCAGTACAGCCAGCCGTGCATGGCCCCGAACGCGTTGAAATCATCCTTTAGGCACGCTTGCCAGCGTTGCTCCGGGCATATCCTACCCAGACCCTCCCCCCAAACCAACTCGCCGAACATCAGCCGTTTTTGGAGCCGCCTGCCCGACTGCCTTGTCAACGCCCCCGCGAATAGCAGGCGCCGCTGCCAGACAGTGGCTTGCATGCTCTCACAGCCGACCCTCTTCAGGATCTGGGCGTACCAGACCCTCTTCAGTTATCGGTACCCGACGACTCGCAGAAGCAGCCGGTGGTGTATCGCCCGCAGCAGCCGGTAGCGGTCGCGGCGAGGGACCCATGTCATGCACCCGTGCAGCAGCGCCTCCATCGCCTCCGCCTCCAGAAGGCGCATCTTGTGTGGCAAGGGTGCTCCCGGCCTGGCGAATAACTCCTGGGCATATCTTCTGATGCACTCCCGCGCTGCTCTGCTTCTGTAGTTGATCTCCCGGGTTAGGTTGCCATCTTCGTTGACAAGGCTACCCAGGTATCGGAACTCAGTCGTCTATGCCCCCCTGCTTCTTCACGCATATCGGGAGCGTCCCCGTCTTTTTCTTTGACACCGTCAGCCCGAACTCTCCAACGCCCCCACGATAACGGTCACCACCCTTGCCAGCCCCTCCGCGGACTTCGAAACAACACCGGTGCCCATCGGTACATACTCGAGTCCTGTCCCCGCCCTTAGTCCCGTCTCTTTCACTAGGTGCACGAAGGTCTGCTTGTGATAGTTTTAGTGGGCGACAAGCCGCAGTCACGCCAAGCGTGAGGTTTGTCGCTGTGGAAGCCATGTGACGAGAAAATGATCGGCGTCTGACTCTACCCAAACAGAAAAAGAAAGCAGATTTGTTGTATGTATACCACCTCTGCATCGGAAAACACCGCGTTTTTCAGGGACATCCGCAGGGAAACCTTTGAACCAAATTCTTAGATACGGAGTCAGCTTTGATGTGGAGCAATTTCGTGATTTCGGGCTTCGTGCACACTTGGAGCAGCAGTAGGTGACCGTTGTTGTGTGCAGAGTTGACAGTTAGCCTATCCCACCCGAATCCACCCAACCTCATCCCCGGTCCCTGTCCCGCTGCGCGAAACATGTTTTGTTCGCAGGGCGACCTGGCCGAAGACCGCGATATGTCCTCCGAAGCCCCCAAGAACGACGCCAGTCGAACCAGCTCGTTCCTCGTCGCTAGGAGTGTCTTCGAGGAGGGCCAGGGGCAACCGCAGGTCTCCAGCGGGGTGGGGGGCGGGTCTAATCTCCCCGCCGGGAAAAGTGCTGGCCGTGAGCACGATAATAAGCGGCCCCTCGCCCGACAGGTGTTGATGACTGTTTTGTTGTCGTTTTTGCAATTGGCAGTGTTTTCGTTCCCACGCACCAGGTCTTTTTCCTGCACCTAAAGGCAGTGGGCACACGAAGACCTATCCTGCGCCATCTACAAGTGGTTGGCCATCCTTATTGACGACGAACCAGAATAGACCACCTTCCTATGCCTTGCCAAGCACGCACGGGTACTAACATCCTTGACAGAGACGAACGCACACAAACGTGGACGCACGCACTTTGTTCATTTCGCTTGGCTTTTTTTGTATGTCGCGTGTGTTCCTTGTTCGATTTTTTGAGACCCCAATCGAAGCTCTCTGTAGCGCTGACTTGCGTTTCAATTTGTTTTTGGAGAAGATGACTCACAGGGCTTCACCAAACGAGACCCGTCATGTTTGACATGGCGCACGCATGTCCTGATGTGTTCTGTGCCCACCTCCGCCTGCAGTCTTACCACTATGTGGCTAACGCAAACATTAGCACAAGCGTGGATCCTGTTGAGAAGCACGATGACCTCTAGACCACTAGTCAGCGCTGACTAATAGTGGTCTAGTGGAACCCCGGACATAAGCTTTTGTTGAGAAGTACGATGACCACTATACCACTATTTCGTCAGCGCCGACTAGAGGTCTAGTGGTTATCGTGCTTCTCAACAGTTCCTCCTCCTCCTTATTCGCTTGTGCTGGCGTTGTGTAATCAGGAGCTCCCGCCGGCCGAGGGCAACGATGCCGTGCCCAAGAGCGAGCTTCTAGCAATGACAGAGATGGCAGCCAAGACCGAGTCTGCTGTACAGGTATAACTCTTGTTGAATTTTCGCTATGTTTCTCACACACAATCGGAATCGGTGGTGTCTGTCTTGAATCTGTCCAAACATCCTGAATGTTTGATGCTGTCTCTTGGGTGGTTCTTTGTGGTGTAGATGCGTCGTCATCGTGGTGGTATCGGTTTCGAGTCTGGATGTAACCGTGTTTGTGAAGGAAGAAGCGGCCCCATGTCCCGAGTTGTGGGTAACTGTCGGGACTGCTTGTGCGTGCAGACCGATGGACGAGGCGTGAATTTGGCGCGGAAATACGTCAGGTTTCCCACCTCTAGCACACTACTGTCGTTTGTGTTGGAAATCCTCACGGCCGCACCCCCTTCCTGACACCAGCAACACTGAGCTCTAGCAACTTGGCCCCCAATAACTGCGCTTCTCATTCCCCCTGCGGCGCCGCTTACGGGCGCCGTCGCCGCCGATGCCGCCGCCGCTGCCGCCGTCCCCGCCATGGGCGCCAACGTGGCTCCCTTGGCCGCGCCCGCCCCGGCCCCTCCTGCCGCCGCCGCCGCCCGTTCTGCCGACGTAGGGCTCCCGCCTCTCGGCCCCGAGCAGGCCGCCGCGCGTGCGCTGCAGAAGCCTTCGGCGGCGGGGTCTCAGGCGCCGGTGCTGAATATCGCCCCCCTCCTTGACAACGCAGAGGTGCGTGTGCGTAGCGGGGGGGGGGGGGAGGGTGTACTCATAGTCGTGCATGCCGTAGTCGTTAGACTATTGACCTCGCATCCCTTCAAAGCCGGGGCGGAGCACGCCGGGTTCTCACCGGACCAGGCCCTCACATCACCACGCGCGAAGAGCCGTGAGGTATTCGGCGAGTCGCATGAATGGTGCGCTGCATCCTGCAAAGGGTGTTCGGCAATTTGTGCTTACTTCCTTGCGTACGGATGACAGCTGCATATGACTTAATTTATTTTCTGATGCTTTCACTTCCAGAAACAGTTGAAAGCACTGTGTAACTGCCTCGAGGGTGCTTGAAAAATTGAACACAACGGGCGATTATCCCCCTTGCGCGGAGTGAGGGTTCTCGACCCCGCACAACATAATCTACTCGACCACCGTTCAGGTTACCGCAAAAATAAAATTAAAGTAAAAAAAAAAGCGGTAACAACCTGGTTGCCAAGCTCACGATTCGATCGGCTTGTTTTGCAACATCGCTGCCAAGCGACGAAAACCCAACCCCTATGGCAAACACCGGGGGGGGGGGGCGTTGTTAGGTTTTGTCTGTGTCCGGTTAAAGGTGTGTGTGCCCTCCCTTGAAGGATTTCGGTTGTCTCTGGGCGTCTTGAGGCAAGCTGGCCTGCTTTGAACGTTCTTGTCGATGTCTGGCACCTATTCTTTTTTTTTTGCTCGGAATTTGTTGCTCCCGGCAGCGGCGAACATATTTCGTATACCTTGATGTTGTGGACTGCAAGGAGAAGCATTGTCAAATCACGAGCAGCACGGGTCGAAAGCATGCTTTCATGTTGCCCACCCAACCACCCCTTCCCGCTCTTCGACAATTTCACTACATTTTGACGCTGTGGTGGATGACCCCGATCCGAATCGTAATCGCTGCAGATGGGCGGCATGACCCTCGACAACCTCGAGACCAGTCTGGGCTCTCCGGTCATCAACACTCCCCCGAGCATGTTCCGCCCCGGTACGACTGCTGTGTCTCGCGGGCTTGGCCTCCTACGGGGGAACAGGGCCGGGGCGGGGGCGGGGGTTGGGGCAACCCCCCCGTCCAGCGGCCTCGCGGATCTCCTCGCCAAAGCCGACGAAACCTTTGGCGGTGACCACGAGAAGGGGCTTCTCTTTCGACAGGTTCGTTCTTGGAACATCCGTTTGGGGGGGTACTCAGCACTCGATACTGATCTACGGAGATCTAGGGGGTTTCGTGTATCATTGACGGTATGTGTTGGTAGAGGGGCGATCCCCCTTCTGCTGTGCATGGGCTAGATGCCCGGCACACTCGTTAATATACCAAGGTCTTGAGTCAACCTTTCTTCTCTGCGCTTCTGTCGACAAGCTGCCCGCCTCCAAACATTCCGTTTTGGTATTGATTCTGGTGTTTTGGTGTTGTCGGGTTTGTTTGTGGGCATTGGTGTCGAATTTGAAAAAGGAGCAAATGCTGTAGCTTCTCGCCCAACCTCGTTTTTTTCGTGAAGGTAGCGGCCTTGAGGCACAGAAAAAAGCACGCCGAGAGAGAAAAAGAACAAATAAATGTGTTCAACACGGGCCCGCAGATGCGAAACGTCAAAATTGGGTCTAACCTCAATCACTTATTTTCTTATTTTGGCTCCAAGGACCAGCCGAAGTCGTCCGTTTTCTTGAAAGGCATTTCTTGTTCCGGTCTGTCGCTCCTCCTGATCCTCTTATTTCTTACCTTTTCGTATGTTATGTTTTGCGGCTAAGGATACAAGAACGCACCTAAACATTCAGGCCGCATTAACAAGAGAAAAAGCTCCGTGTGGCGAAAATAACCACTCTCCCTAAAAAAAAAATCCACTGTTCAGGTAGGTAGCGGGGTGGGAGTACGGAGGAAGGGGCAGCAGTGGGCCGTTTCCCTCCAGCTACCCCTTGTTCTTATATTTTGGCGGTATTGCACCATCATGTTTCTTACTGGGACGTTTCTTATGTTGTGGCCGAGATTGAGCTGTGTTTCTTAGCTCTATTTTCTTAGTTTTCGTAATAATTTTGAGCCTATTTTCGGAAAAGATTTTTTCTTAACTTCGGGCCCGTACTGCTGTGCAGCGCAGCAATACAGGTCTCATCGTAACAAAAGCTACGTTCACAGTTCTTTCATAACCTTCGGCAATATTTCCAAACACGGTGAGATTCGTCTAACCGCACTCGAGTCCTAGTGCAGCGTCAAGCAAGATAGCGTGCAGGAATTTGGTAGGATGAGTGAGTAATGGTTCTTGGTCACTTGGCTATACTCCTCCATAACTTGGGGGGAATAGTGTAGGTTTGTTTGTGGTCGTGCAGGAAGTCATTTGCCGATCCAACATGTTAGCGAGGATTTTCGCTAGGGAATCCTATGCTACATAGCTAGTTTATCCCGCAAGTTTGGTTTCCGCTTATCGTTTGTAACAACTTTTGCGTACCACACAGAAACATTTAGTTAGTTGCTTTGACTACTCCACCAAATAAATGTGGTTTCGGTGGTTGACATCTGTAGGTGCTTGCCTGGTCCCTAGAAAAAACCACTCGTCCTTGGTATCCTCCGTCGATTTGACTGACTAATTGTCACGATTGGTGTCTAGATCTCGGGTAGGGCGTCTACAAAACCCGTGCGATGGGAGGGATGAGGTTGGGATTGTTTCCCGCCCTTTCTCTCTTTTCGAGTTGTAAACCACTCTCGACGTATTCAATTCACGTGGTATGTATCCAAGCGTTTTATTCTCTGGTCCTCCAGTGTACTGGTCTGGTGTACTGCTGTACTACTGGTTGTCGACCAATCATCAGTCTTGTTCGAGTGCATGTGGTCGGCTTGAATTGTTCTTCCTAGTCGATCTCCCGTGTCTTGGTGTTCTGCACACCGTTCACAGGGACTCTTATTACGGCCTACGAATTTGCTTCGCCGTTATTGGGCAGACCATGCACGTAGCATAAGTGTCCAATTACCGTATCACTGATAACCAAACTGATTTTTTTTGTTTTCTCTGGCGGGGCAGCACCTTTTCTCACAGATTCTTCTGGGTAGACTCAGAAACAGACTGGGTACAGGGGCAGTAGGCAAAACCCAGCCGTTGACACGTGTACACGTGTACACTCGCGCACGTCACGTTCACCCACAAGAAGTCTTCACAAACAATCTACATAATGAGTGGGCACATTACCCCGTTTCTCGATTCCCCCATTTTTTCAACATTATTGTGGGCTGTGTGCAAACGCGAGTGTCTGGCTCTTGAAACAGACAGCAACGTCTGTAGTTTGTAGTGGGGGGTCACTGGCCTATCCCACACTGTTCGAAAAGAAGAACTGGCTGGGAAACTCATGAATATACTGCTGTTCTGCTGTTGTTGACGAAAGCGACTATCAGTCCCGGGCGCGCCATCGAATGTTTTAGACGCGGGTTCGAGCCTCGGCACCACTATCGTTTTTTCTTCACCTTTTTTCTTCACTTTTTTTTCTGCACCCGCTGACTCCCCTGCTACTTTCTCAAGTGTCCAGCAGTGTCTTCAGTTCATGTCGCTAGCTTGCATATGCACATGTACAGTTGATTGCTGCGAAGCAGATGCACGGACGGGAGTTCGCACAACCTATAGACTACACGTCTGAACCACGTTCAGCCATGCCCAGACCCTCCTGCTCCAAAACGTCTGTGATGTCGCATACTGTACCCGAGTTCTTTCCACTGCGTCATCCTTCGGTACACCATCTCTTAGGTCACCTTTCATCTCATTTTTTCGGCCATCGCTGTTGGTGATTTTCGACTTGCGTCACCCCCGGGAGGCATGCGCCTAGCTACCGAACAGGGGTACCTCGTGCATGTATATTTTGGGTCGCATCGCCTAGGCCCGGGTACCACGCCCCTGGTGTTCACGTGGTATACACCCTCCTCGTGTCCTCCTTACGTAGCCATGCATCCCCTTTTCTGTATATTCTCTTGCGTATCATGTAGTCACTCTCTGCCGCTTGTTTTGACGTAAGGTACACGGTATCCATTGACGAGTCAGCGAACCTCCTCCCTCCTTTTTTGCTGGTTCCCCCGTGGTGTTTATAGGGACCCGAGGGTGTTGTCGCGGCTCTGATCGATGGGGGAGAGGTACCCCGCCCGTCCGCGGCAGTGACGTCCTTGCCTATGAGTAGCACAATGCCGACCAACTCATTGAGCGGCGGCGGCGAACCTGACGACGAAAAGGCGGAATCCGTGCCGGATCCCGGCATGCGCGCTGGTACCCAGAGTGTGAAGAAAATGTCTTCGGAGGTAGGGTATTCTCGATAATTAACACATACTTCTCCTGTATTCTGGTGTTTTTGAGAGTATCGAATACCAGCCCTTTGGTCTGATGATGATGATGGTGGTGGTGGTGTGGGTGGTGGTGGTTGTTTTGATGTGTTTGGTTGAAGGCAGCGGTTCTAAACGGTTGTCCATGCTGAGCGTGTTTCGGCGGTTTGTGCGCATGGCGCATTATTCGTGATTCGTTTGTGGGAGTTCTTATCGAGAACGACGCATCGGCTCAAAGCATGCTTTCCCTCTGCTGCTGCGGTTTTTACTCTCGTCTACTATTTTCCCTCGTATCGCCCACTCCCTTTCTCTCTCTCACGCTCTCTCCACCCCATGTTCACGTTCTTTCCCGGCCTTTCTTCGACATTTTATCTACTATCTGTACGATATCGCTCGATCGTCCGTGACGTTCAACCGGAATTTGTCCAACAATAGGAGAGCCCTAAGAAGCCCATCGCCGCCAGGACCGCGGCAGGCACCGACGACGAGGCCAAGGCTAGGTGAGCAAGGGAACAGAGGAGCAAGGCGGTTTGGGCAACCCCCATATCTTTCGCTGCAATGTTTGTGTGTCACATACGTAATACTTGCGCCTGTATGTTTGTCCTCCCGCGTCGGCGCTTATCTGTCCCCATGTTCTGTCCACAGAATAGTCTTGATGATATTGCAAATCTGAACACACCCCAACTGACGTCACCTGACGAATTGGTGAACCGCCAATCATCATTTGTCACATCAAGAGGTGATTCAGGGCAAGCAGGGCCGCGGGGTGAACAAACAACAATTACGCTAGGCCTTCGCTGTCCCTACGCATCATCAAAAGAGGCACCCCGTTTCCCGCCCCAACATTCCATGACAAATTGCAGACGTAGGGCAAGCGACGCCGGACAATCGGAGTCCATGACGTTGGACCGAGATGACTGGGATGTCGGTAGCGGAATTTTTGAAGGAGGCAGAGGGCGCATTTCATCCTCTCCCTTCAGAGCGGAGAACAGCGGAGTGCGTTCAAGCATTGATCATAGCAAGCACTCATGCTTATCCCTCTGCGGAAGGCTTCCTGAGACTGCAAATGACGAAGACGAAACACCTGGCAGAGGACGTCTGACCTCAGGAGCCCTCGCCAAAATTGGCCCTGTGTCTCCCCCCATTGGATCCGTCGAGAGTCCCAGCGGAGCAGTGCCGGATGAAATCGGTCGGCACGCCACCTTTGGGAAATTGGCGGACTCTTCTGGCAGTGCACCGGAGTTCCTACCGTCAGGAACAGTCCCCCCTCCGGTCACGATGAGTCCCCTGGTCCCAGCGCGATCGGGGCGACGTCCTCAGGTCAAGGAAGCTGTGAGGCGCGCAGCCATCAGGCCCCTCAAGGATGAGAAAAAAACTCAAGCCGAAACGGGCGGTCTCCCTCGCTCCAGGATGGCGCCCGCTCGTAAGAACCTGTCCAACTGCAGGAACTGCGGAGCCGATACCCGCATGCCACCGCCGGATACGACGAACGGGAGCCGCGCACAGTGCTGGTTGTGCGGTAAGGAAGTAACTTGTAGCCGCCAGACCCGACGGTGTCAGTCGGCGGCTTCCTCGTGTGTTTCGGCCAGCAGGTACGTCTCAGTCAAATTAGTCTCCTCATGCTCGGTATCGGGGGTTGTGGTGTCGACACCCAAAACTATTCATGCGAACATTAACAAGGAGTGGGAAGAGCTGGTACGCGAGTGTTCGAAGCTAGTGGGAGCCAGGTGTCGAAATCAATCCGCCGAACTGACCTCCTTCTTGGGAGTTTACTTCCTTTCCCAAGCCTCTCAGTCATCCGTTTACTGGGACGAGGCGAAAGTGTTGGGAAACCCGGAAGGAAGGACGTTTGTTGCACTCAAGGAATGGGGCGGGGTATCAAGCGTAGAGGAGTTTCTCGTGAAGAACACTGTCTCAACATTCTTAGAGACAGCCCTGTACAGTCCCAGGGATGTGCGCGAAGCTGAGCTTGTTGCTGCTTCTTGGGGTTACAGCCGAGTTGCTAGGGTAACACATTCGGAGCTGGTAGGTTTGAGTGCAGAACTGGTTTCTTCGGCGATCGGCGAGGACGCATCTTCGTCGTCCAGGCCGTGCCTAGTAGCTCTGGGCAACTTATCGCGTCTGCTTAACACAGGTAGTGTCGCTTTGGTCTCGAGATCTGCTGGCGACTGGGGAGATCTCACATGCCACGGTAACGGTCCAAAGGGTCACGAACTTCTTGCTGCCTTGTTGTTCAGGGTAAAGAAAGAGATGGTTGGGTCGGCTACGGTTCTTGTAGTCACTGCGATACCGAATGGCGGAAGGCAGAAGGCTGGCGCTATGCTGACGGCAGGTGTCTTCGACAAGCAAACCGTCACGGTAGGCGACATCCAGCGAGTGGTAAAGGATCTTACGCTGGTCGAGCACTGGGGACCGATCGTGGAGGGATCGCCGTCCTTAGCGACAATTGCGAATCTTGCGAAGGGTAGAGACACGAAGTGGAGGCCGGCTCGCCCTGGCTACCACGAGGCTGTCGCCAGCTGGGTCGTTGGGTCAAGCATGTTGCGGATGTTTGTAGGCTTCTTCTGCTTGTCGGGAACAGCTCTGTATGCGTATGCGTACGACAAAGGAACGTCTCACACACTAGCGGCCCTCCTCCTCTTGGACTTGCTAAAGAAAGACCTCGGGGTCCCGCTATGGGTGTACGCAACCGGCGACGACGTTCGACTTTCGAGGGCACTGGCAGCCGCTCCTGGCTGCCACTGGCTAATGGTGGTCAGCATGGGATCCGTAGAAGTAGTGTATTCAGCAGCCTTCGAATACGCGGGGCTTTTTGCAGTAGCCGTGTCGTCATTCTGGAGTTTCCTGCTCCTGCTGAACTTGATCAAAGTTGTCGCCCTGGATGGAGCTTGCAGGCGTTCAGGTGTGTCCCGCCGAAATATTCGGCAGAGAGATCACGGACTCTGGAAGAAAGTGTTCGGAAAAGGAATTTACACGGCGAAATCTCTCTTCGTCGACGCATGTTGCGGAGATGGCAGGCTACTCTCGGTGTCTTGGTTGAAGTTTGCTGAAGGGGACCTTTGGTTGACAAGAAACACCGTCATTGGGCACACGGAGAGGTGGCCGCCGCCGGTTGCCGTTCGTAAGGCGCAGGTAGTCGGAACAAGCAGCGACTAACGCTTCGTGGAGTACTTGCATTCGTTGAGTTTTACCTGATGCGGTTCTGGAAGATTTAATTATGCGGCGGCAGGAGCAGCAGCTCCACGTAGGGAGGGGAGGACCACGTGAAAGGAGCACTTTACAGGGAAATGTTTGAAACAAGTAACATAAGCGGGGTGTAGTGGTATGCACGCGTGATGAAGTCTGGTTGACCCGTGAAGAAGAACTCACTTGTTGTTACTCTTGTAGAACAGCAGCAGCAGTAGCTGTTGCCTTGGGTATCGGTAGGAATGACACCAAGGGGCACAGGATCCTCTGCACAAGCAGGGGCTACTAGATCCTGTCCCCTGCTTTTTATCCTTCCGCGGAGAGTTACATCTCTCCGCGCCTTGTAGAAGGAACCAAGCTCTTCTATGTTCCGTCTACACATCTGAATCCTATAACACTAGCCCACCCTGGAGGTTCTCATACGCAGATACTGTAAAACCTCGGAGTCTTGACAAGCAATTGTCGAGTCTCTAAATGAAAGTATCGAGGATGTGGAGCTCCAAAACAGCACAATTCACCCTCCCACACCTCTCACTCGATGAGTCGCAAGACCATCGTTTGACTTCTAAAACGACAAAAGACACAGACAGGAAGGAACTGACGGGGCTAAGGAAAGCCTACGACGACCGGAAGAAGGTCGGAACCAAAGAAAGGAAAACACAAAGAAAGGAAGAAAAACAGAAAAGAGAAACAGAGGTCGTCATAACGACAAAAAGAAAGGATCACTGTAGGAACCACAACAAGACCGGTATCGTAAGAAAACGATATAAGATACGCCATTCACGCAGTCGCCACGGCAGTGTAGAAGGGGCAACAATGGGCGCGAAACACCTACAGGTCGTGACCAAACGCTAAAGGCACATAATAAAGCGAGGAGAAAGCGAAAACCAACCAAGGCTAAAAAGCAACCCAAACAACGCTGAAAACAACAGAAAGCCAAGACAACTAGCATGTCGTCTTAATGGAGGCGCGCAACGTTATCACGCAACGAATCAGTCCCGGGGTCACCACGCGACATGTCGACGTTGCGAAGGATCCCCTTAAAAAGGGCGCTGCCGCTGTGAACTTGGAGGCACCAGGATCCGGAGACGGCGGTTTCAGCGGTGGAGTAGCGAACATCAGGAAGGGCGAGCTTGACAGGGCCAGGATCATCCAAGAAGCGGACGACGTAGAAGTCGGACGGTAGAGGCGGTCCAGTAATCTTGCCCAACCACCAGAAACCATCGCGAGCTTTGTACCAGAAGAAGGCGCCTGCAGGTAGTGGAGTATTGGCGAAGCGACGGTCCCAAGTTGAACGAGAGACGAGCGAATAACCCGAAGACAAGGCTCGCTCCCCTTTAGCGCGCGCCATCTCGCGGGTGGCCGCACCAATACGCATCGCCCGATAGCGACGATTCGTTTGGCGGTGTTGATCAGGCGAACCCGTCCAGTACCGGAGAATGTGGGGCTTGGAATGCTGGAGGTCCATCTCACGTTCCCAAGAAGGACGAAGAAGACCTTTCCAATGCGTTTGGTATAAAACAGCGATGGTACCACCACGGCCACGAACAGACTGATGGCCACTAATGCGGTCAACCTCGAGACGTTCGACCGGAGTCGACATGTCGTCTTCCGTAACATGGTAGGGAGGAGATTTATTCGCATAGGAGTTTAGCACATACGGTGTAAGGCCGGCAGGCAGGAACCGAGGCAAGTCTTCAGTGTCATGCGGATTAGCGCAAGGCTTGCAACGCGCAACTGACACACGGTTTTTCGAGTCCGGACCCGGCAGATCCGATGGAAGATCCAAATACAGTAACTTGGAAGCCAAAGGACAACCGTCGGGAGCGTCAGGACACGGACCCACGGCCAAGATCTTGAACGGACCAGTCCAAAGGAAAGACAACTTAGTCTTGAGGACCTTGTCATCCGTGCCTGAACGAACACCTTGGCGAATGGCAGATTCGGTGTTGTACACCCAAACCCATCCACCGACGGTGTATGAGGGGACCTTGCGCAAATCATCCGATAGAGCGGAGTTACGCCGCTCAATCCTCGAAACGGACAGGTTGTGCTGTTCGCGAACTAAATCGTAAGAACGACGTTGGCGATCAGCAGCAAGATCGCAATACTCAAGTTGATCGCGATGCAAGCTTTGGTGGCCTCGAGCATATGGATGCTCAAAAACCGTCATCGGCATGCGTGGCAGTCGGTTCATATGCACCTCGTTTGGCGCCAAACCAGTAGCGGCACTAACCGAATTGTTGTAGGCAAACTCAACGTGCGGCAGATGAATGTCCCAATCATCTTGCCTCTCATTGACGACCATAGCCAACATCTGAGCCATAGTGTGATTTACGCGCTCCACACCCCCATTGCCGTTGGGATGGTAAGAGCTGGTAGCCACTTTGCGGATAGCCAGACGGGCGTATACAGCCTGCGACAGTTTAGAACAAAACTGAGAGCCATTATCAGACAAGAGACTCAAAGGGCAACCCCATAAAGGGATATACCGAGTGACAAGTACGTCAGCGGTGCCTTCGGCGGTGAATTCTGCAGCCGTAACCGCGTACATGTCAGCACGGCGGCTGAAACGATTAGTGAACAGCAGAGTATATGTGTTTCCGCGCGGTGTCAACGGGAGGGGACCGAAATAATCGACGCTCACCGACACACCAGGGCCCGAAGGCAGCGGAAGGCACAAAGTAGGCCATCGAGGCGTTTGACGGGATGATTTGCGGGCTTGGCATCGCAAACAATGCCGTACCCACCATTTCGTGCAAACAGTCATGCCTACCCACCAATAAAAACGTTCCAGCATGCTAAGCGTACGAGCGGCACCGAGGTGGCAGGAAGCATCAGCGTGACAGGCTTGCATGATCCACGGACGCATGAGCATGGGAACATAAATCCGAATGGGTTCGTCGTTGAGAAGGCGAGCAGCACGCCCGCCAGGACGTGTGGTCGTAGGCGACGGGGTCGCGGTTTGCTTTCGAACACGCGAGACCAAACCATCATCGTCAACATGTAACCGGCCTTTGTTAGACAGGTCACGGATCTCCGATAGAGGAGGTCGACGAGCGGACGGAAGATGATCCAGGAAATCCGAAGGGAGAGCCGAAGGCCGACCCAGAAGGATGAAACGAATAGCTGCGTCACAAACAGGTTCGTTACGTTGCTCGCGAGCCCAACCAGCATGCGAGAAACGTTCGACAGACGCCCGGAAGGCTAAATCTGCCGAGGAATGTAAAGCCGCCTCGATAGAAGAGGGAGCCGATTCCTGAGGCTCCGGCTGCAATCCACCCGAAGGCAAAGTAGCAGCGGAAACCGAAGACGAAGGCGTGCAAGTGGTCGAAACCGAACGCGTCGAAGATTCCGAAGAATCGGGAGCAGCAGAAGACTGCTGGGCAGGAGCAACCGAAGTTGCAGGATGCGTCGAAAACGCAAGATCCCTTCCACAAGCCAGAGGCGTAGGAAGGTTCGAGATCGAAGCGTCAGCACCAGGAGTCGAAACCAACCTGGTCAAAACGGGGGGCGTAGTCGATGCTGATTGTGCGGGCGGGGAACGTCGAAACGATCGGGGCGAAGCGGAAATCCGAGTAGGAGCAGGCGGGTCCTCGGAGAAACCATAATCCACGGGCGGGAGGGGCGTGCCTGCCACAACCGCCGTGCGACGGCGAGTTCGCGTGGAAATCAGTTGAGTAGGATCGAGAGTCCGTCGTGATGCTGCAGTCGGCGAGACGGCCGGCGAAGACTCGGGCTCGAGAGCCAAAATGTCCTTCCACCGAAGAATGTAAGGAGCCAGACCAATCGAGGGTCCTGTCACACAGGCGTCGTAGCGAAGGAGACAACCCGCGGGAGTTGATGAACGGCCAGGGTGCGATGTTCCAGATGCCAGGCGGAGACGAAAGGCCTGACGGCGAGAGACGTGGACCATAACGACGGAAGTCGACAAAATCATCTGTAGAGGGGGCCAGCCCACCCAAGACCGAAGTCGGGGAAGTGGGGACGAGCCCACCCAAGCCAACATCCACGGCGCGATGGCCAGAAGGCGTAAGGCCACAAGAACGGATGAAGAATACGCTCTCCTCATCGTCATCCGGTGTCAAGCGGCTGCGACCAGATCGGTCACATTCCGCCGCATCGATCGGAAGGCGAGAGAGGAAATCAGCGTTGCCATTTGCGGAACCCTTGCGGTACTCGAGAGTGTAATTGTAGGCGGTAAGAAATTCAAGCCAACGCTGAACGCGGGCATTGTTCTCCCCCACCTTGGCAAAATGCTCAAGAGATTTGTGGTCGGTAAAAATGCGAAATTTCGTGCCCCACAAATAACCGCGAAGTCGTTTGATGCACCATACGATGCTGCCTGCCTCGAGGTCGAGGGGAGTCCAATGACGTTCGGATTCCAAAGTAGCTCGGCTGATGAAAACGATGGGCCGGATGGAGCCATCCGGCTGTTCTTGTTCGAGAGTCCCGCCGAACCCATCGCGACTAGCATCACAGTAGAGGCGAAAAGGTCGCGAGCCGTCCGTAACGGCATCCCAATCTGGATAAACCAAGACAGGAGGGTTGGCCAACTCAGACAGCAGGACGCGAACAGCTTGCCCCATGGCAGGGGTGAAGGCAAACGTCGCCTGCTTCTTGAGAAGAGTGGTCAGAGGTCGAATTCGCGTAGCCATGTTGGGAAGGAACTTGCGGTAGTAGCTGAGGCCGCCGAGAAGAGAGCGAAGTTGTTTAACATCCCTAGGCATGGGCATTTTGGTGAGGGCCGCAACCTTGGCCCCGTTAGGCCGAACACCGTCGGGGGAGATGGTGTGGCCGAGGAAATCCGCTTCGGTAGCGCCAATGGTGGCCTTCGGTGGGGTGAGTTTCAAGTTGTGTGTAAGTAAGCGTTCAAACAGAGCGCGCATGGTATCAACATGAGAAGCAGGGTTGTCGTCGAAAACGATCAAATCATCCAAGTACGATGCAACACCGTGGAGATTTTTGAT